CCCCCTTTGGAATGGGGGTCGTTTGGCTTCTTTGTTAGCCTGCAATGCCCCATACCTGTCTATGTCTCTGTTGTTTTTTCTTAAACCAACGAAACGTCTTCAAACGTGGAAACAAAGTCCAGTGGGTTGTTTTTCAACTTTTTTGGAAAGAAACCCTTTAACGTACATTTGTAACAATTAACCTTTAGCTTTACTGCCTGTAATCAATGACTGCATTTATCTGTGTCTAAGAATAGGGATTGAATAGTACTAAAACACGGAATGACTAAGAGTTGTCATTGCTGGCAGTTCAGGATGATCAATAGTTGGCAGTGAAGATCATTTGGAGAGGCTAAGCCCCAGATTCCACATCCTCCATCACCGCTCACTGAGTACTTATCTGTCATGTTGATCAATGAGAACGGTTCAACATCCACTGCTATAAGGAGCATCCACTGCTATAAGGAGCATCCACTGCTATAAGGAGCATCCAATGCTATAAGGAGCATCCACTGCTATAAGGAGCATCCACTGCTATAAGGAGCATCCACTGCTATGAGGAGCATCCAATGCTATAAGGAGCATCCACTGCTATAAGGAGCAGCATGATGAACAGTTTCACTGTCACCAAGAATGAGAAAAGGAGAACCAGCATAAACATCAGGAAAACAATCTCCAGGTGGGAGGAGCTAAAGAAGGAGGGAGATTCTAAAAAAGATGCTGAAGTTCCATGTTTCTCCTTAACTAGCCAGTGATTTAAATTAGCCTACAGCCAACTCTGTCCATCGTGTTTTATTAAACAATGTTGCTTGTTATGTAAAAAGGAACTATAGTTCGAGCTTTTTGAGGCAGTTAATTCCAGCTGATAGAGACTTCCCTTCAGGATCTGTTTGCTTGATAATCTCCAAGAACTTTTCAGAAAATAAAACTTTCTGAGCATCAAAGTTTCAGGTTTATCTGTCATCAATCCCAGTTTCCTGTTGCCGATCTTCATTCTCTAAACCTGTTAGACATTTCAGACAGATACAAATACTTTCACCAATTCTAATTTCATTACGGTCGTAATGAAAGTTGTTTCCGAAATCGACTGACATTCAAGCATTTCATTTTATAAGCTAGCCTTTATATGTTATGTTGAACCAAAATCACTAAAACAAACCACTGCATCGTTAAAGTCCTCTGAGTCGCTGCTGGAATTAACCAGAAGATCTTCTCCTCAAACAGAACCACCTGACATCATCCTGTCTTTCCTGAGAGGCTGCTACCAGAGGAGCTTTAGCTTTTCAGTTAAACACCAATATTTTACAGCACCTCAAACATGTTTCCAGCGCTGGACTCTGGAGCAATCATGAGGTCGATGTCCCTCTTGTCTCCTAGAAAGGATGGGTAGGCCATGTTGATCAGCAGCCCGGCGTCGATCAGGTGAACTTGTTCTTTGGACTGGAGGCAATCAGGAACGGAAGCGTCTGTTGGCGACAAACACCGAGTTAATCTCAGACCGACTTCCAACGTTTCACTAACTCGACCTTTCCACGTCGCTTCAGAGAAACTAGGAGGAGACGTATCTTCTCAGGGCACTGCAGGTCTTCCTTAGATGGTTTTAGTTCTGGACTCTGGATAAATGAGT